TCAGAGAAGAACTAATGATGGCGTTAACAAAGCCCTATAAGCCTACTCTAACTTAACCGAGATTTTGGCTATGAAATCTATTAGTCGCCAAAACTGAAAATGTAGAGGTAAAAACGTCATTTTGTTAAAAACGTGTATACTTTACCAATTTCATGTTATTTTTGTATATCTTACTAATTTGTTAAGAATCTATGTATTTTGAGCTCGTTATCTCTAATTTGTTTTCTTACAAATACCAAAAATATACTATACTTGGTAAGCTATATCTATTTTAAGACGTATATTATCTATATATGTTTTTAAATTAAATGTCGTTTTGACATTATTTTTATTTCAAAACCAATGTTCTTCTGAATTTAAATGTAAATTTTAGCACAAAATAAAACAAATCACCAAAGTAAACATGTTTTTATAGAAGTGTAATAAATATTTTAATATGTTTTTTAATTCGTGTGGAAAAACAAATGTCAAAACGATATTTGACGTGAGACGAACTGAACTCTTTAGTTAGAAATGCATTTTTGTATACATTTTTTTTGTCGTCTATTTTTATTACACCAAGTGTGGATCACAACGGGTCAGCCCACGGGTCCAGTTTTTTCTAATGAGGACAATAGGGGTCGAACCTCTTTGGTACCAGGAACTGCAAGTGGATAATACTACTGCACTACAAGTGTTCTGGCGCATTTTTGTATACATATCAAATGATGTTAGCTAGTTCATTTAATCAGTTGGATTAGATTAAATCAAATGAAGTTAATATAATGGGCTCCTCGTTGATATTGTTGTCTATATAGAAATAGAACCCACGATCAGAATTTCTAGAAACGACATCCATTAGGCAGGTCATTTAAAAGTCTATACATGAGAATGAATGGAGCAACGTGAGGTGAGTGTCTTTTTCTTTGTAGGCCACTGAGATAAGCTTCCTTGTTTTCATGTCCTAACCACCAATCACTCATATTTCATACAAATCCTTACAATTTTAAAGATCTGCCTACTTTTGGTTCCAATATCTGATCATATACTTCTTTCCCAATTAACACTAGTTATGTAAAATAGAACAGAAATCAATCTTTATAAGTTACAAATCAACGTAATAACACTATTACTGTATATATCGAATACAATCCATTGTTGAACTATTTTTTTTTTACAATTTTTATTTGTTTTGTGGGATTATTACTGTAATAACACTATTACTGTAATAACACTATTACTGTATATATCGAATACAATCCATTGTTGAACTATTTTTTTTTTTACAATTTTTATTTGTTTTGTGGGATTATTGCAAAAGTTAAAAAGAACCATTATCTCGAGGAAAAATGTGGATAAAAGATCTCAAAGGAAACATGACTAATATATAAAGGACGTGGACACAAAACGAAAATCACGAAACTAATGCTTAGATGAGTTTTAGTACGACTGGTTACAAAATTCTTGATTATAGAGTTATCTCTTTAAACGAGACTAGTTAAGGTCCGACTAATTCATACATTACACATGTAAATGACCATATAAATCCCTTCACTACCCACAAGTACTAATGATTTTTTTCTCAAAATAGCCTTATCATGGACCACAATAATTTCAATTAGTATTACCTAACAAACCATTATGTTGTG